GATTTAGAGCAGCCCTGAGGAAAAGGACTTGGGAGTGCTGGTGGATGAGAAGCTCAACATGAGCCGGCAGTGTGCGCTTGCAGCCCAGAAAGCCAACCTTATCCTGGGCTACATCCAAAGAAGCATGGCCAGCAGGTCGAGGGAGGTGATTCTGCCCCTCTACTCAACTCTCATGAGACCCCATGTGGAATACTGCATTCAGCTCTGGAGTCCCCAACACAAGAAGGACATGGAGCTACTGGAGTGGGTCCAGAGGAGGGCCACAAAGATGATGTAAGGGCTGGAACACCTCATCTGAAGACAGGCTGAGAGAGTTGGGGCTATTCAGGCTGGAGAAGAGAAGGCACCGGGGTGATCTTATAGCAGCCTTTCAGTACTTAAAGGGGGCCTGTAGAAAAGCTGGAGAGGGACTTTTTCCAAGGACTTGTGGTGATGGGACAACGGGTAATAGCTATAAACTGAAAGAGGGGAGACTTTGATTGGATATAAGGAAGAAATTTTTTACTCAAAGTGGTGAGGCAGTGGAACAGGTTGCCCAGAGAAGCTGTGGATGGCCCATCCCTGAAAGTGTTTAAGGCCAGTTTCGATGAGGCTTTGGGCAACCTGGTGTAGTGGAGCGTTTCCCTGCCCATGTCAGGGGGATTGGAACTAGATGATCTCTGAGGCCCCTTCCAACCCTAACCATTCTATGATTCTATGAAAATAGTAGTAGAATCTTCATTCTTCAGTAATAGCATTTTGAAGAAATTGCTTGAAATGCCTAAGTGGGACATAACTACAAAGCTTACTTGAAAATGAGCAACAAAAGGTTTGTTTGCCAGACTAGCGCTCAGATAAACTAGAACAAAATAGCATAGAATATTTCAGTTAGAAGGGACCTACAGCAATCATCTAGTCCACTTCAGGGCTGACTAAAATTTAAAGCAAATTATTAAGAGCATTGTCCAAATGCGTGGAGAGGGAGGTGCTGATCTCCCTGGTGTACACTGGTAGGACACATAGGAATAGTTCAAAGCTGCGCCACAGGAGGTTTAGACTGGACATTAGGAAGCATTTCTTTACCAAGAAGGTGCAAACATTGGAATGGGCTTCCTAAAGAGGTGGTCGATACCCCAAGCCTGTGAGTCTTTGAGAGGCATCTAGATAGTGCCCTTAACAACATTCTTTAATGTTTAGTCAGTCCTGAATTGGTCAGGTGGTTGGACCAAATGATTATTGTAGGTCCTTTCCAACCAGAACTACTGTCTCCTCTTCTTCTCCTCTGCCTCACCTCTCCGTCTCCTCTCCATATAGCATGCCTTGTGCCTCGAAGGCTCTTTCATGGTTTAAAATCCCGAAGTTTTGATGGAAGCATCAGTTCTGGAACCAGGTATTGATATCCTGGCTTCGCCTGTTTTTACAGATCTCCCACCGTTACTGGGAAGATTGAAGAAAACAGTACCTGTGCTCTTTTTTGCTCTTCAATTTTTTAGCGTTCTTCCCAGGGCTCTGAAATATCTTCTGATCAACCGCAAACTTTTTATTGCAACATCATTAGTACCCTTGTGAAAGAACAGGGATTGATAGTAATATGAAGGTTGAACTAAGCTCTTCAGTCTTCTGGTGACATCCCTAATACAGACCCTGGGGAGGCAGCAACCTTCCCTGAAAAGAGGATCTTGTACTAGATTGTCCTTTAAGTCAGGAAGGGTGACTGACAGAGTCTGAGGTTATGTCATACACAACATAAAATATATTGTATTGTTAATGCATGATAAAACCTTGTTTCAAGGTTTGGTGCTTCACTTTTTTGTTTTCTTTCAGTCTAGAAACAATTGCACTGTACGTTACAAATCTTGGCCAATATTATATTTTAAATCTTCATAGGAACACTGAAGTGTGGGAAAATATTTAAAAATTCTTAGGAATGCCAGTGCTGACTCTGAGAACTTGGTACATATTATGAATTGCTGCTGTGTCAAATAAATCACAAAATTTTGGCTCTCACCCACTCTATTTTAGGCTTTAGTTTGCTTCTTTTATCAGAGATTCTGAAAATGCAAGAAAGTGTAGTACTGGAGGATACTTCACAATTTTTTATTCTCTATTTTTTTCCAGTCCAGTGCTTTACTTGACAGGGCTGAATATGCTAGAATTGACTTTTACAGACATTCTTTGTGGGATTTTGTTTGTTTGTTTGTTTTGCATAATCCCACTACATAATGAAAATTTCTTTGCCACAAAGTAATCAGATCTCTTGTGATGATTTGCTCAGGAGATTGAGGGGGAATCCAGAATTACTGACTGTCATCTGTTAGAACAGCCTTTTCTTTTTATAGGTCAAAGGAGTGTCTATATCCATCCTGTGTCCCACTGAATAAATACTGTTCTTCTATCTGCCTAATCATCCTATTTAACAAGATTTCTAAGCCTTTACAATTATTTCTGTCCTCCAGACTCCACAACTTACATCTTTTTTTGAAAGTGCTCTTTGTGACAACAACAAAAAAGCCTCAAAAGGTTATTTCTGGATTGCCAATAGGATGAAGAATAAAATCTAGCTCTCACTAAGCCTGATAAACTGCTAGAGCCAGTTCTGACACAACTTATCTAGCTGTTAGGTAGCATCTTTTTGTTAATCATAAATGCGAAGTGGTCTGAGAAGTGAGCTACGTGGACATAAATGTGAGGAAGATATAAAATGAAGTAGTGTAAAATGGAATTTATTGAGCTGCTTAAAGTAATGAAAGTGAAACTAAACCAGGTAAGATACGAGCTCCTCCTCTTTATGTACAACTAAAATAAGAAAGTATTTTCCATTTCAACATCCAGCATTAGAAACCAATCCTCCACATATTCACAGAGTAATTGTTTGCACACTGTCATCGTGGGATTTTTTTAAAAAATACATGTATTTTCTTTATAAATACTCCTTCAGTTATCTTTTGTTATATGTCAGTAAAGCTGCAGCTTTTAGGAAGTTCTATTGTTTTTAAGCTCGATTATCTTTTCGGTTGGGAGGGCTGGAACTCTTATCTGACCCTGTAAAATTTTTTGATCTATTTAACATAATGAAACAACTCCATATTTTTTTTTCCTCAACAGGAAGTCCGTAAAGTAAGTGAGAGTATCAAGTATAACCACCCTTTGAGAAAGTGCGTTGATACAATACTGAGAAAGGTAACAAATTGCTCATATTCAGCCATAATTGTTCAATTGGGAGGGGGTGCTTCCTTCACCTACTGAATACTTGTACATTATTTTCTTTTCCCCTTAACATGAAATCTCTAATTGGCATCTTACAAGTTTCTGACCAGACTTCGAGTTAAAATTCTTCATGGAATGCTTTCTTATGATGCTGTATTTTGACATATGTTGTATTTTAGAAACAGAAAAAACTACACTTGGAGTGAACTTTTCAGTTTCATGAAATGCCCCAGACATTTACAGATAATTAATAAAAGCACTTGCTACTCCTTCATCTTTCACTTAATTTTCCCTTTTCCTTCCAGTGCCCTACTGAGTACCAGGCAAGAATGGGTAGGAACATGGATGATTATGAAGATTTTGATGAAAGACAGAACACTTACCCAAGTGAAAAAAGTTTGGTCAAACTTCACAAGCAGGTATATTAATTGTTGTGGTTTAAGTCGCTCTGGCAACTCAACTCCACACAGCCACTTGGTCACCCTCCCGCATCCCCCGGGGATGAGGGAGGGAATTAAAGGAGAAAAGGAAGAGAGACCCATGGGTTGAGACAAAAACAATTTGATATTACTACTACTACTGTATAAATATATACTTATGTACAATGATAAATATATACAGACGGGTGATGTACGGTTTAATTGCTCACCACCCCTTGACCGAGGCCCGTCTCATCCCGAACTAGCGATCCTGAAACAGGTAAGTCCCAACACCCTAGTCCTGGATGAGTGAGAGGCCTGAAAATAGAGAGCAAGACCGAGAGAGCTCTCTGAGAGTCTGAAAGTGAGAGCCCTGGAAGAGCAAAAGGCCTTCTTTCCAGTTGTTCCTCAGTTTTATACTGGGCATGACGCTGCATGATATGGAATACTAATTGGCCAGTTTGGCCCTCAATCCTAAGTCCAAGTTCAAATCATAAGGAGAGTCGTGGACCCTCTGTCCCAGCCATGCTCACCCCTTATCCTGTTGTGCTCCTGCACACTGGCAAGAACACGGCAGCTGAGAAGTCCTTGAGGCTTCAGTGCCAACTGTGAACATCAGTGCACTATCAGCATTCTTAGAGCAAGTCCCAGACTAAAACCAAAACAGAGAGCTCTTCTGGCTGCTAAAAAGAAGAGCTAAGTCTGTCCCAGCTGAAACCAGGACAGTATCCACCCCTTATTCCATACCATGCATGTCATGCTCAAACCTCATGTATATATACATAGATACTATTCCCTTAGTCCATTGGTCATCCCTCCAGAATGCATGTTGAGTTCGTTTAGTCTGTAACTCCGGGCTTCATCTGTTATAGCAGTCTCTCAGGGCAGGAAGGATGATGTGGAATTCACTCAGTCGGTAGAACGGATGACGTAGTCTCTGCTGCACGTGACATCTGGAGCTCGTAGTTGGTGTATCCGGCAACAGTCCATGTCCACAGCCTGCAGGTTGAAGATGTCAGACTCAAGGAAGTTGCTGGGTGTCTGGAATCAGTTCTGGTTCTGTCAAAGTTCATTCTTCATTAACCTGCGTGATTCTTAATGTAACGTTGTTAGTATAATATAACGTCATTAGTATAATACGATAACCATAGCAATGATGATATGCTATGAAATTACAGGTTGCCCAGAGAGGTGGTGGATGCTCCATCCCTGGAGACGTTCAAGGCCAGGTTGGACAAGGCCCTGAGCAACCTGATCTAGTTGGAGATATCCCTGTTCCTTGCAGGGGGGTTGGACTAGATGACCTTTGAAGGTCCCTTCCAGCCCTAACCATTCTATGATTCTATGATTCTATATGCAGTGACAGGGTTATTCAGCAATTAATATCACACAATTCAATTCATTTTATCGTCTATTTTCACCCCACATCAAATCCCCTTGAGGTACACATCAGACTTCCTTGTCCTTCTGCATCACCCTCCAAGTGCACCCAGGTCCTTGAGCAAAAGCAATCCAACGAATGGGTTTACCTTTACCTGAGGCAGGAATAACCCAGACTGTCTTCCTCAGCATATGTCTTATGTGCACTACAGGGACTTCATCCCCTTCTACAATACGTAGAAGTTCTGATTGGGCAGAACCAGCTCGACTTGCAGATCCTCTAGTGTTGACTAATCAGGTGGCTTTTGCTAAAAGTATATCCCGATGTTTGAAGGTTCCACCACCCATTGCTTTCAGTGTGGTTTTTAGCAGTCTGTATTGTTCAATCTTCCCAGAAGCTGGTGCATGATAGAGGATGTGATATACCCACTCGATGCCATGCTCTTTGGCCCAAGTATCTATAAAATTGTTACGGAAATGAGTCCTGTTGTCTGACTCACTTCTTTCTGGGGTGCCATGCTGCCACAAGACTTGCTTTTCAAGGCCCAACATAGTGTTTCGGGCAGTGGCATGGGGCACAGCATAGGTTTCCAGCCATCCAGTGACTGTTTCCACCATTGTGAGCACATAACGCTTGCCATTATGGGTTTGTGGAAGTGTGATATAGTCAATTTGCCCAGCCTCCCCATACTTATACTTTAACCAATGTCCTCCGTACCAAAGAGCTTTTAACCGCTTGGCTTGCTTGATTGCAGCACACGTTTCACATTCATGGGTAACCTCTGCAATAGTGTCCATAGTTAAGTCCACCCCTTGATCACGAGCCCATCTGTATGTTGCATCTCTTCCTTGATGGCCTGAGACATCATGAGCCCAATGAGCTAAAAGTTTTTCACCTTTGTGTTGCCAGTCCAGACCCACCTCAGCCACTTTAATCTTAGTGGCCTGATCCACCTGTTGATTGTTTTGGTGTTCTTCAGTGGCCCGACTCTTGGGTACATGGGCATCTACATGACGTTCTTTTACAGCCAGCTTCTCTACCCGTGCAGCAATGCCTTTCCACAATGGGGCAGCCCAGATGGGTTTACCTCTGCGTTGCCAGCTGCTTTGCTTCCATTGCCATAACCATCCCCACAGGGCATTTGCCACCATCCATGAGTCGGTGTACAAATAGAGCACTGGCCATTTTTCTCATTCAGCAATGTCAAAAGCCAGTTGAACGACTTTCACCTCTGAAAACTGACTCAATTCACCTTCTCCTTCAGTAGCCTCTGAAGGAGAGGTGAATTTGTTGAGTAGGACTCTGTACAGCAGCTTTCCATTTTTGATGTTTTCCTACAAGGCGACAGGATCCATCAGTAACCAGCGCGTATTTCTTCTGATTGTCTGATAGTTCATTATATGGTGGGGCCTCTTCAGCATGTGTCACCTCCTCCTCCTCTGGTGACATTTCAAAGTCTTTACCTTCAGGCCAGTTAGTGATCACTTCCAAAATTTCTGGGCGATTGGGGTTTCTTACCTGAGCGCTTTGTGTGATCAGTGCGATCCACTTACTCCATGTAGCATTAGTTGTGTGATGCGTAGACGGGACACTGTCTTTGAACATCCAGCCCAGCACCAGCAATCGGGGTGCCAGGAGCAACTGTGCTCCAATACCAATCACTTCAGAAGCAGCTCGGGCTCCTTCAGCTCGGACTCCTTCATACGCTGCCAGTATCTCTTTTTCAATTGGAGTATAGTTGGCTTCGGATCCTTTGTATCCTCGACTCCAAAACCCAAGAGGTCGACCTCGCGTCTCTCCTGGCGCTTTTTGCCAGAGACTCCAGGCAGGACCATTCTCCCCAGCTGCAGTGTAGAGCACGTTTTTGACATCTTGTCCTGTCTGGACTGGTCCAAGGGCTACTGCATGAACTATTTCGTGTTTAATTTGTTCAAAGGCTTGTCATTGCTCAGGGCCCCGTAAAAAAATCATTCTTCTTCCACGTCACTTGATAGAGAGGGCTTACAATCTGGCTGTAATCTGGAATATGCATTCTTCAGAAACCCACAACGCCTAAGAAAGCTTGTGTTTCCTTTTTGTTGGTTGGTGGGGACATAGCTGTTATTTTATTAATCACATCCATTGGAATTTGATGACACCCGTCTTGCCATTTTATTCCTAAAAACCGAATTTCTCTTATAGGTCCCTTGATCTTACTTTGTTTTATGGCAAAACCAGCTTTCAGAAGAATTTGGAATATTTTCTCGCCTTTCTTGAAAACTTTTTCTGCTGTATTGCCCCGTACAATGATGTCATCAATGTATTGCAGGGGTTCTGGAGCTTCACGGTGTTCCAGTGTAGTCTGGATCAGTCCATGGCAAATAGTAGGGCTATGTTTCCACCCCTGGGGCAGTCGATTCCAGGTATACTGGACGCCCCTCCAGGTGAAAGCAAACTGTGGCCTGCATTCTGCTGCCAAAGGAATTGAGAAAAATGCATTAGCGATATCAATTGTGGCATACCACTTGGCTGCCTTTGACTCCAGTTCATGCTGAAGTTTGTTATGGATTAGGCCACTCTGGCAACCAAACTGCCCCCCCACAGTCGTTGACTCACCCTCCCCCAGCCCCAGGGATGAGGGAGAGAATTAAAGGGTAAATGGGATACCCATGGGTTGAGATAAGAACAATTTAATACAGGTGATTTAATACACAGTGTAGATGCTCACCACCCCCTCGTATGCAAAGCCCGTCTCGTCCCGGAGCTGCAATACCAGACG